ATGTGAACTTACTAAAAGAATAGCTGATTCTGGCCAATTCTTCTTCCTGGCCCTCTCTGTGCATTCTACCAGGGGCTCTGTGGCTAGTGATTCCCAAGGTCTCTGTTGAAATGGACAGTGGTGACTTCAGCTACAAACATTAAACAGTTCTGTATGATGTACTGTTACAACTTAGAGTTTAATAAGGGCATGGCATTTATTTTGCAGATGTCCTCCTCCTCCTTTTTATTCTTCCACTTTTTTTCTTTTTTGCTCCCCCCTCTTCCTTCTCTTCTTCTGTCTTGCTCTTGTCCTTTTTCTGCAGTACTATAAGAAGAGTTTCATTGCTATTCATTGCTTCATATACATTCTATTAATTCACTCATATCTGTCCCCTTTCAGTGGATGTTTGAAACTTTACGTAGCTGTGCAGCCTTCCTCACACCCAATTTGAGGCCCCTTCTATCATGCATAAAGAACCCTCAGGCCCTTTGCCTTTTTTTCTGAGACATATTCTCAGCCCTAGGAATCGATTCCTTGGGATGGTTCCGTTGTTCCTCTGCACAATTGAAATTACTGTTCACTGGGCCTTCCAGCCTTTCACATAGACCCTGAGCCATTCTTTCCTTCTCATGGATCACCATCTGTGCTAGATTTTTCTTTTCTTGTGTGACCCTGTACTTGAGCTTTTCCTTGTCTCCGAGTTAACTCTCCTTTATAAAAAGCATTACCTCAAAAGCTACCTACCCAGTATGTCACTAGATGTCTCCATTTTTCTACCCATTGGTGTGCTTATCAGTAAGAGTACATGAAAGGAGCACAACTCATGAGATTTACCCCAATAGTAATTTTGTGACTCAGAACTTTCCCCTTTGCTTCTTTCTGTAAAGTTCCCATGTCTGTTCCTTTCCTGCCTCTGAGTGACAACCCAGGTAGCCTTATTCACTTTGTTTTTGTTATTGCTCATATAGATAATGGACCTAGTTTCAATGGAAACATTAAACAGTCCTGTATGATGTACTGTTACAATTTAGAGTTTAATTTAAAGGTAAACCTAATCTTCCTTCTTGGTGCTCAGCTTTTCTTGAGGGTAAGTCTGTAGTTAGAAAAGATATTATGACTTCTTTTTCACTTTTTAAAACTAACTGTTATAGACTTCCAGGTCTCTTTAGTGCTTTGGAAAGGAAGAGGAAAAAAATAAAGAGAGATCAGAAGTTTTTATTTGATTGAACTCACAGTAGCAGAGTGTCATGGCACTCTGGACTTGCTACAAGTTTACACTTGACATTTTTTAGAGGTGATTCTTTTGTGAGTTCATTAGAGAGCTTCAAACACTGGGAGATGTTTCTTCCTTAAATTCCTTAATGCCCTCCCTCCCAAACCTAGTTGCTTCTTCATTTCTCAGCCCTCTGATGTCCAGAGACATCCTCACTTCCCTCAGTCTAGGTAAAGAATGTGCCATGGAATTCACTTGCCATTTTTCTTTCTTTTTCTCACCATTGAAGGTGATAGGCTCCAAAAGTCTCAGGATAAACTTGTGGCCAGGTTCTTTTCAAGAGAAACATGACATTAAAAAAAAAAAAAAGTTCAGAACAGTACCTTAGGTTTTGCTACAGTAAGTGCTGTTGTTTTTCCAAGTGAAGACTTACTTTGAAAATCCTGTGCTTTTAGTGAAACTTGGACTTGCTGTGAAATATGTCTTGTCCTAAAACAAGCTACGCAGTCGTTAGTGCTTGTCAAGTGGAAGTACTCCCCTTGTTTGGAGAGATATTTGTAGAGCAGTGTGCCCTGGATGTGGCCACATTGGTTTGAGGTTTGAGCAAAGCAGGAAAATGTCAAGTATACTCCGGAAATGTTGACATTCCATCCAAAATTTTAAAGTGGGTCATGGGTTGGCATGATTCAGCAGCTTTATCTTCTTCTTTCAGCTTACGTTTGAGCAAGACTAGCAGGACCAATTAAAAAGTGGATCTGTACTCTTTTTCCTGACATTGTATCAGTGACATTGGTCTTTGCAGCAGAGACCTTTTTGAGTCGAAGGCAAAGATATAGAGGCTCTGAAATCAACATAGAGCATCTCAGGATGTCTAGCAACAATTTTATACAGCTGATCTACCTGCTGTGATGTGCACACAACACCTCTGATTCTCTTTACTCTTGCTTTTGGACACTGATTTCTAGAAGACTAAAAGCAAAAGTTAATAAGAAGGCAGAAATAGCAAGCCTCACCTGAAAACCAAATTTGTAATTTCAACTTCTTTGCCAAGCCTTTCAACAGTAGCCTTTCCAGTAATATTTGTTTTATTTTGAATAGATGTCACTTTATAAAAATTGCATAATTGAGAGTATTCAATTTAAGAAAGTTCCTATCAATCTCTCATGAAAAATGAAGTAAGAAATTTTCAAACATGCATACATTCACATAATATAAAAGAAATTATTTTCCAGGGTAACAAAACAAGATATGTACACAGAGGTTAGCCTATTTGTCTAGGTGTGTTTGGTCCAGAGAGGTAAGTAGATTTGGCTAATGTCTTTAAAAAGGAATCTTAACCTACAAAAGTTTGCAAACTACTGTTTTTTGCAGGTTGTTACCTGGTTGGCAAGTAAAGCTGTAGTCTAACAATGATAGAAGGTATTGAAGTTGAGAAAGAGTCCAAAGATGAAAGATAAAGTATTGTAGGTGTCCACAGGGGCATAAGATGACTTCCACCTGGTGTTTGTCTGATTTGCTCGTTGTTCCACTGTAAACACAGAACTATGGGTGTTGAAGGTGACACCAAATTAGACACATTATATTCTTCACTCTCCTATATGGCCAAACATGAGTAAACTGCGAGGAGAATGAATGAAAGTTGGTAGGAATTTTGTACTTGGAGCCCAGTGTTTATGCAGATTTCATCCCCTACCAAGCTACTTCCATCAGGAAAGATGCACAGTCACTATGCAGAATGGATGAACCACATTTTTGAAAGATGTGCAGATTGTGGATGAATGAATACATGATTATGAATGTAAGTAAAGTGGATATCAGAGGCCTGATTTCCAATCTGGCAGGATGTTTAGTCTCATCAAACTCAGTAAAGCATTAGTTGGTTGACTGTCTTGGAATAACGCTTGTATACCTCGATACTGAGTTAATGTAAATTCTGGAAGGCTCATAACACAACACAACACAACACACCCAGAATCAAATTTACAATATAATAAAATATTTCAATATTAGAAAAGTCTCAACCCTGCTCAGGAGGAATTTTTTTTATAAGAATCAGGAATCGTATTTATTCATAAATGGAATGTGTGTCTAAAATATCCAAGTTGGAGGTTACTTTTTGTGGATGTGAGAGACGGTGCTGTGTCAAAGTGAGTCTCCTAGACAAAGTTGTCATAGGATTTTTCTTTCAGTAAAAAGTTTGTTAGGTATTTGTTACTCTGATGGAATCATTTCCATTCCCAAACTTTCCCCACCTAAAGAAAATCTCTGAGAATCTACCAAGACCTCACTAAAAGTTGCCTTATATATATTTAAATTAATAAATACATATTTCATGATGAGTATTTTCATAATCCACAGTTTTAGTAGCAATTTTATGAAATATATAACAAAAGCCATAGATGTTCTCTTCCTTCTTTTAGAGCAACCCGGAACAATTATTTAGAAAATTTTTGTTCGGAGTCCAAGGTCTAGCATTTTTTAGTTCAGTTGACAGTAAGAATTACAGTTGTCAATATGTACTAAATTTGGGAGGCCTATGAAAAGACTGCCATGAAAAATGTGTTGTGAATATTTTAAGCCTTAGCCCCTCAGATGCAAAGGTCTATTAGGGAGAATTCTAAACGGTATCAAGATTTTCTTGGGCTTAGAACATTCCCATGAATAGTAGCCTAGTCTTATTGTAGCAAATAACATTTTGATTCGTATTTGTCTTCATTCTGTAGCTTCCTTTGTAATTATTTGAGCTTTGTGACTTCAGAAGTGGGGCAGCTTTAATGTTTTCCCTTCACTCCGTAATAATACTTGGCAATGCCAAGAAGTCAAGTCATGATTATATTAATTACATAGATTATTTATAAAGTGAATGGCCTACTTTAACACTTATTAAAAATTGGCTTCCTGGATGGTTTTTCAATCTTCAGATTTTATATAGTGTATCTCTGTGTCCATGTATACGAACATTAGAATATATGGGTTTTCACTGATCTCTTAAATCAGATAGTTTTCTTAGTATCATTTAATTTCTGATTTCTTTGAATTTATAGGCATGTGTCAAATTGATGTGTTAGAAATGTGTTTTGTTTTAACATTTTAAGAGAGATACATGTTATAATATATCTGATTTGAATATTCCTCAAAGCCTCATGTGGTCATAGATAGTGTTTTTTCAGCGGTGGCTGAACCTTGAGTGTGTGATGCTGGGATTAAGCGTGTGTGGTTACTAAATGAGTCCACTGATTAGTTTGGTACTGTCCTAATCCCAGTAGCTAGATCCGGTATAAAAGGGGCAGGAAGAAGCTGCTATGGTCCTTTGCTTGTTTAGCTACCTTCTGCCTGCCATGAATTGTTTCTCTTCTACAGTGCCTATCAGCCATGCCGCCCTGCTTGGAGCCAGCTGATTATGGACTGAAACTTCTGTGAATTTAGAGATAAACAAAGTTCATGGACTCTTCTAATTTTGCTAAAATGTTGTCATTATAGAAAATGAGAAAATTTTGAATTTCAGGCTAATATTTTATTTGTTGCAATTATTATGTATGAAAAGTTAATGTTTAATTTATTACTATTTAATATTTTAGTACTGGAGAACATTTCCAATTATATAAAGTTGTTTCTGCCTATCTTTTACATAAAGCACTTTTAAAGTTTCTACGTTTCAGGCATTTTCTATTTGATATCAGCAAAGATTCATGTTTTTTTAAGGATTTTGAGTGTTTCAATGAAACAGTTTATAGAAGAGAAGAAAATCTTTTTTTTAAAAGGAGCTTTTTTAAAAGTCTGACCTCTTTGTACATGTATTTTACAGATTAAAGGAATTATCTGAAGACAAAGCATTCTAATCTTCAAAGACTGGACAAGAGTTACTCTTGCTTTTGGCGATTAAAAATGATGTTGTCATGGAAACAGTTGATCCTGCTTTCTTTCATTGGCTGCCTTGGAGGTAACAATAAGCTGTATTTTCTAAGTTGAGGTTTGAAGTATTCTTAAGTCATGTGCTTCACTGGTGTTTAAATGTTGAAATAAAACTTACCAGTGGCAAAGAAAAACATTTTTCCCTAGAAAGTGCAATTTCTCATTTCTGATTATTGTATTCTAATTACCCTTCCCCCTAACTTTTGCAAGTTATTTTATTTCTATAGCACATATATTGATACCTATTATTAGAGATCTTCTACTGAATTATAATTAGGGTTATGGGTAGAGCAACTTAAATTTGAGGTTGTTAATTTAAGAACTTTTCAGCAAAAGGAGATGGAAATAGTAAGCTCTAACATATTAAGGAAGAACATGAAATTGAAATATGTCAGTAGCTGAAAACTAGTACAATTTTTCTTTTGGAATATGATGAAGATAGACAATCTCATTTTTTAAGTTTTAAAGAATTTGGAATCTAGAATAAAAGGAAAAAGAAAATTCTGTATTTATACCACGTGAAATTAACTATTGTGTTATTTATGCATTTATTTTGTTCCTTCATTTTATTTTGTTTCCTGAGTAAGAGGTATTTGAAATATGCACACACACACATATATATATATATATACGTGTGTGTATTACTATATACAATTAGTTTTTTGTTTTTTCTATGTTATAAAGGTTCTCTAGCATGTTATTATGTTGAAAAAATAGTAAACCAAGCACCCTCATGTGGATAATTTAGGTTTTCTAATGTACTGTTTTATTGTATTATTTTATCTGTATGCATATAGTGCACTTTTCCCCCTTTTACTTAATTATTTATTTTTGGCTGACCCATTTGAAAGTAGGTTACAGAAATCACCTCTCACCCCTATAAAATTCAACACTTGTTTCCTAAGAACAGTTTCCTGTCAAAACACAGTTTCTTCATGATATCTAAGGGAACTAACAAAAAAAGTTGCTTGTCACCTCTCTTTTCTGAGAGGAGGAAACTGCTGTGGAATAAGCCTGAATGAAAGGGTCAGGTGCAACACGGGTTACACAGCAGTATATGCAATAGACTTTGGGGCTCCTATGTTAAACCTCAGAGCATTTTAAAACATGTAAAGCATAAAAATTCATAAGCAGTAATCCATTATAGGTTAAAACTTCCTCCTTCTAAATATTTTGTTTAGTTTTTATATGTTCTTACTGTGATGCCTTAATTTTATTGCTGAAACATTTTCTTTGTTACTAATTTAGTAAGGAGGAACAAAGAAGTAATTGTGAATTCAAAACTTTTAAAATGAGCTTTGGAGAAATATCAATACAAATATCCAAACTAAAATACTTTTATTCTTGAATTCTCTTCTTTATTTTCAAAGTTTTAGATTTACCTTTGGTTTTAATGGAGCAGAAATAACAGGCAATAAACTGCACCAATGTTATTCTTTGTGATACTAAATTTTGTACTAGCAATCTTGAGATTTTCCAGCTGGTTGAAAAGAAGTCATACTGTGAAAGTATAGTGTAACTGAAAGTATAGTGTAACCCTATAGTATAGTGTAACTATACTGTATAGTATAGAAAATAAGATCACTTTTTCAAAGATTTAAAGTGTTTATTTGGAATTTTATACCCTAGGCAAATTTTACTGATCATGTGTCTGCATTTTTGAGAAATTTATGTTTTTTAACATTTTTTTCCCCACTGAGTTTATTGGTACATTTTAGGTATACAGTACAGTTACATTCATTATTGGGATCCTGTACCTTTACATGACAGGTCTTGGTTCTCATTTTTTCCCCTCCCCCCCTCCTCCCCTCCCCGTTACATACACTTCATTTCCATTTTTTCATTTTCTCCCATTTTTTTCTTTTCCCTTATTAGCTTTCCCCTGTCCTTCCCACTTTCCCTACACCTTTAGCCCCTTTCTTCCTATTTCACATTGTCCATTAGAGAAATTTATGTTTATAGAGGAGTTTATAGAAAAAGCAGTGACACTCTTAAATATGAAGAGATCATTAAAGAATTTAAAGGTCAACTTTAATCAGAATGTAGAGGTAAAATTTTTAAAAAATTAATAAGGAAGAATTCAATTAATTTTTATGTAAGAAAGCATATGTAGTATAATACTTAGGAGATTGGTGATCATCATAATTATATTATGTAGAAAAATTAGGCTTTTAAAGTATTGTTTATATACTGTACTTGTTGTACTGAATGTTGATACTCCTAGATCTAGGTAAAATTAGGATAAAAGGCTTGCCTCTAAGGATGACATTCATTAACAAATATTGGGTCATTGTCTAGGTATTAAAATAAATATGTGATTTATGGACTACCCTTCATATCTTTGATTTTAATAAAAGCAAGTAAATTCACTTAGTAGGGTTTAGCAGAAGATATAAACTCAACAAATGCTGTAGCTGCTAGATGAGTTGAATTTTCTGTCTTCTCGAATTTTTATCACTTTGTGCATTTTTCTTCCATTTTCTTCTGTTGTTTTGTGTGCAGGTTTTCTCTATAACAAAGACAATGAGGAGACCAGTAGTATTTTCTGACCAGGAATTTATCCAGGAATACATTTGGCTGAATTTTTACCCAAAAATGCTAAGTTACAGTTATTCACTACCAACATTCAGTATTTAATGCACAATTTATAATAAATACTCTTAAAAATTATATAAAAGAGCCAAGTTTTACTCCATAATTATGTTATGGAGAAGATTGCCATTTTCCTAAGTTACATATACACCGTGTGTAATAAATTATGTATGAATTTGTCCTGTTTCACTTACAAACTCTTAAAACTTTCTTTCTAAACAAATAATTATTAAGGTCCTTTATATGCCAGAATATTTTCAGAAAATGGATGGATATCTTTGTTTCTGTGGGGCTTATAGACATTCTATCCCATTGTAGCTGACAAGGACATTGAGTTAGAAGGAAATGGTGCTGTGGGAGAGGGGATCAGAATAGGAGAAGAATGTGGAGCCCTGGGATGTGGGTTGCTGCTTTAAACAAGGTCTTCACGTTAGTCCTCATTGCAAAGGTGATATTTGGACAAAGATCTGGTGGTGAAAAAGTTGAGTGTGTGGCTATCTAGGGAAGAGAGCTCCAGGCAGATCCCTAGTGCATGATATGCTGAATGTTCCAAAGACTGCATTAAGGCCACCTGGTCAGCATAGTTGGCCTGGGATGAGTTATGGGAGAGAAGAGGTGAATAAGTCACTAGGAAATGTGACTGTGGATACAACACAAAACGGAGTTCCTTAGAAATCACTGTAATTATTTTGAACTTGTACTCTGAATTCTCTCAGGAGACATATGGTTTGAGCAGAGGTAATATGATCTGGCTTCTTTACAAAATTTTAATGGTTGCAGTGTTGCAGGTTGATGGTAAGAAATAGGAAAGCAAATAGGGGCACAGATACTCAATGATGGGATAATCAGGCGAGGGGTGGTGTTGGTGGCTGACTCCAGGAGGGCAGCGGGATTAGGCACGATGTCTTGAAGGTTAGAATGTGAGTATTTGAATATATTTTGGAGGTTTAACTGTGGAATTAAGTCTGAGGTAGGAGAAGGAGAAATGAATTGCAGATAACTTCCAGGCTTGTACAACTCTGTTTAGAGTTGAGTTACCTCTGGCCATATCAGAGAGTATACATAGGTAAATTGAAGACCCAGCACTATATAAGAGTGCAGGTTTTATGAAGGGAAGATCACTCCTCAGTATTGAATAAAAATGTCACCTTAGTGAACTAGGACCAGTATTTTGAATCGAAATGGATAAATTAGCATTTTAGAAGGACAGATTAGAAAATATCAGAGTTTACCACCAACAAAATAGAGTAAATATTATCTATGTTAAGTAATTATGAGCATTTGAGGTTTAGCAGTGAACAAAACAGATAATATCCTAGTATTCATAGAACTAATGTTTTAATGTATGTATTCTGGGTCTTGGTGCTACATGATTTTCTTACCGAGTTGCATCAGATTAAGAGCTAGATATATAGATAGAAAATAAAGATAGAGAAGAGAAGTTTTAATATTCCAAGCATTCTGACAAGAAGCCAGAGAAGGAAGTAGTATCAGGTGAAGGTTAAAACAATACTAATGGGGGCTGGGGATTTAGCTCAGCGGTTCGGGGACTGCCTTGCAAGCGCAAGGACCCGAGTTCAATCCCCCGTACCAAAAAACAAAAAAACAAAACAATATTAATGGTACCAAAATTAACAACAGTCATGTTAATAACTGGAAGCTTATTTACTGTGTCCCGAGCACTGTGGGGAGTATATTATTTTCATTTGTTTGTTTGTTTGTTTGTTTGTTTCAGTACCCAGCATTGAACTCAGGACCTCGCACTTGTGATGCACCACTGAGCCAAATCCCTGGCCCTCTTTTTTATTTTAGAGTCAAGGAAACAGTTTCTAAGAGGTTCAGTAACTGTACCAGTCAGCGTGGTTATCTGAAGCCCGAATCTCTGAAATCAAAGTGCAGTGTCTTAGTCAGTAGAGGTTACTTCTTGAATAGTTTCTTTTCTGGGATAGTCACAGGTTTAGAGCAGGTTTATCCAACCTGTTACATATGCCTGTGCTATAGTAAAAATACAAAACTGTAAGATATTGACACATATATACATGAAGTATATCATGTATTTTATATGCTGCCCAAGACAGTTCTTTGCGGAATGTGACCCAGTTAAATCAGGCATGTATAAGCCACAGGCGGCAGGTGAGGTGTGCCTGGCTTACAGCGTGGACTAAGAATTATTAAAGATCCAAGGAAAATTTTATTTTATTACTTCATTGCTTGTGAGTTAATTATGTGGCTGTTTTACAAATTCTAGATGTTTCCTTTCCATTGTAGGCAGCACTAAACACATATGAATATTTAGCCATGTGTTAGTCCTTAAAGGTAAAAGGCACACAGGATTCCAAAGGCTTAGTATTAAAAAAACTTTTAAGAATTTAAAGGATTGCAATAATTCTTCTAGTGGTTATATTTTGAAATGTTAATATTTTAGCTTTGTTAGGT